AAGCATTTTCTATGTGGCAGCACTATTGTGGAGACTTTGCATGCCTAATTTTATTACTCATTACAAAACCCTGCAAAATAGTTAGTGTTCCCATTATAAATGGGTAAACTGAGACTAAAGAAGCTAAATATCTCATGCAAAATAACACATCTCATAACTGGCAGTTCCTCAATTAAGATAAATTACTGTCTGACTCTAAAACTGTCTCACAAAACAAAACAAACAAATGATGCAAAGGTCATTGGTATTTAAGGTCTCATGGAAAAGTTACCACAAATCAACAAAGGTATAAAAATATGTAGCAAAACTGTTAGCACATCACTGTTTTAACCATTATGGAGAGGTAAAACTTAACTACTGTGTGAGAAAAAATTTTGTTGCATTATTTGATTACCAAGTAATTCACCTGAATTAATCTATTTCGTATTTCTAACTGGATAGTTTCTGGTCATTAAATGTGTTGTCTTTTTCATTCTATAACATTCTCCTCTGACAAATATTTTAATACACTGAATGGAAAGATGTAATCATCAGTGTAACTGGATAGTTTCTGGTCATTAAATGTGTTGTCTTTCTCATCCTATAACATTCTCCTTCTGACAAATATTTTAATGCACTGAATGGAAAGGTGTAATCATCAGTGGTCTTTATTTTTTTAATTTTTTAAAATATATTTTATTGATTTTTTATTTTTTACGGAGAGGAAGGGAGAGGGATAGAGAGTTAGAAACATCAATGAGAGAGGAACATCGATCAGCTGCCTCCTGCACACCTCCTATTGGGGATGTGCCCGCAACCAAGGTACATGCCCTTGGCCGGAATCGAACCTGGGACCCTTGAGTCCGCAGGCCGACGCTCTATCCACTGAGCCAAACCAGTTAGGGCAGTGGTCTTTATTTTTGATGATCTATCTTCTAAAACATTTTTGATTAACTAAACCATTTCATCATAAATTTGAATAGTTGCAAAGGATGTACTTCCCAACATTTTATCAATACTAAAATTTAAAAATAAAATTTTTATTACTTTTTAAAATACATCCAATAACCTGTGAATTACCATAATGATTTGATGCCCATCATCTATTTAAAAAATATAAGAACAACAATCTCAAATTCAAACAGGTTCTAAAATTTATCTGGAAATTCAAAAAGCCAAGAATAGTCAAGACTTGCTGGAAGAAACCAACATTATAGGACTTGTTCAACCAGACATCAAGGACTCTAAAGTGATAAAGATTATGACAGTGTAGTGCTGGCTGAGTCAAACAAATTGACAAATGGAAAGAATGAAAATCTGGAACCATCCTTGCAGAGACGGACACTTGATTTGTAACAGGTAGCCTGATTGAGCAAGGAGGAAAGGATGGTCTTTTCAGTTAAGGAGGGAAAAATGAAATTCTCTCACACCACACATAAAAATCAATTCTAGGTAGATCATAGACCAAAATGTGGAAGGTCAACCTTTAAAGGCTTCAGAAGGCGATCGGACACAAAAAATATTGTCTATTCAAGAAAGGATGCATGAATTGGATCCATTAATATAAAAATTTGTATTCATTAAAAGGGTGGAAAGATAAGCCACAGAATGGGAGAAGATATTGTAGTACATGCCGTTTATATGACCCCCCAAAAGACTTGGACTCAATATTTGATGAAAAATCAAAGGAAAGGCACTATTGACATTTTGTGCTGGATAATACTTTGTCGTGGGGGTGTCTAGCCTATGCATCGTAGGATGTTTAGCAGCATCTTTGGCATCTACCCCTAGATACCAACTCTTTGCAGTTGTGACAACCAAAAATATATCCAACCATTCCCAAGTGTTCCTTAGGGGAATCAGGTTAAAATTATCTCTGGTTGAGAACCACTGTGATAGAACAATGAGCAGAAAGCAGACAGACAGTTGAAAATTAGGAGATCCAATGTCAGGAACCACTGTGATAGAACAATGAGCAGAAAGCAGACAGTTGAAAAATAGGAGATCCAATGTCAATCAACAAATGAAAATGTGATCATTTATTAGTAATTACAGAACTTAAAATTGAAAACCACTGATATATCATTATGCACCCATTACTAGCAAAATCATTTAAATCTGCCAGCTGTTGGTAAAGACAAAGAACATTGGGAATTCTTGTGCACTGTAGTTAGTTATATAGGTTGAAACAAGCAGTTTGGAAAACAATCTAAAATTATTTCATCAAGATAAAGTTATGCATAACTTAGGGCTAGTATGCAGCTCAGAGTTATAATGTTGACTAAATGAAGACAAAGAAGAAGATACTGTTTTTTCCATTTTAAAAAAATGTTCAAAACTAAGCAAAATCAAACTTTATTTTTTTATAGATGCATACCTACTAATAAAACTAGAAGAAAAAATCACAAAGTGATTACCTATAATAGGTATGGAGAAGGAAAGTGGTATAAACTGGCCCTAGCTGGTTTGGCTCAGTGGATAGAATGTCGGCTTGCAGACTGAAGGGTCCTGGGGTTGATTTCAGCCAAGGGCACATGCCCAGGTTTTGGGCTCAATCCCCAGTAGGGGGCGTGCAGGAGGCAGCCAAACAATGATTCTCTCTCATCATTGATGTTTCTATTTCTCTCTCCCTCTCCCTTCCTCTCTGAAATCAATAAAAATATATTTTTAAAAAAGTAAATGGTATAAATTGGAGAGGACACAGGCTATTTCTTGACTTAGGTGTTAGCTTTGTGATGTTTGTTACATTACACCTTTTAAGAATTGTGTACTGTCCTGTATATGTGCTATATTTCATAATTTAAAAAGGCTAATATTTTAATAAACAATTTTTTAAAATTAATATTTTTCCTTCTCCTAAAACTATTTCCACTTCCTTCCTTCACATATTTTTTTATTGATTTTTAGAGAGAGTGGAAAGGAGGCAGGGGGGAGAGAGAGAAACATGGATGTGTGAGAGACATTAATTGGTTGTCTCTCCACATGAGCCTGAACTGGGCCCTGGGATTGAACCCACAGCCCAGGTATGAGACCTTGACCAGAAATCAAACCCGCAACCCTTTGGTGCATGGGCTAATGCTCCTAATCACTGAGCCACACTGGCCATGGCAATCCATAACTTTTAAATTGTATGCTGTTCTGAGTAATGTGATCAAATCTCACATAGTCCTGCTCAGTCCTGCCCTGCACGTGAATCATTCCTTCACCTAGTGTATTCAAGATGTATATACTACCCACCTATTAATCACTTAGTAGCCCTCTCAGTTATCAAATTGTTACGGTATAGTAGTGCTTGTGCTCAAATAACCCTTGTTTTACTCAATAAAATTGTAGCAAACTCTATTAAAGAACATTAAAAAAGGATTGTAGGACTTATCCCAGACATACAGATTGGTCTCACTTCAAAAAGTCAATGTAATACACCAAATCAATAAAATAAAGGGCAAAAAACACATGTTAATGATAATAGATGAAGAAAAAGCATTTGACAAAGCCAACATTGTCTCATGATAATAAAAACACTAAACAAGTTCTGAATAGGAAGGAACTTGCTCAACCTGACAGCTGTGGATTTTTCGTACATATCCTGTAGTGTACTTAATACTGAAGACTGAAAGCTTTTCCCCCAAGGTCAGCAACAAGATGAGGATGCTCATGCTTGCCAGTTACATTCAATCCAGATGAAATGGACAATTGACAGTTAAACCAATTAAAGGCATTCATATTGAAAAGGAAGAAGTAAAACTATCTTTATGGCATGATCTTTTATTTAGAAAGTTCTAAAGATTGCAGGCTACAAGATTAATATACAATAATTATATTTCTACATACTATCAATAAATAAACTAAGTGAAAAAAGTTCACTTACAATAAAAGAAAATATTTATGAATTATTTTAACAAAGAAGTGCAAAAATTATAAAACATTTTGAAAGAAATTAATGAAACTTAAAAAAATTAAATGCTAACCATTGTTTATAAATTGGCTTTATTGTTAATATGAAAATACTGACTTGATCTATAGACCTATAGATTAACTTGACCTATAGATTCAATGCCACCCTTATTAAAATCCCAACTTATTTACAGAAATTGATAAGCTGATTCTGAAATATATATGGAACTTCATGGGACCCAGAATAGTAAAAACAATATGGAAAATAAAGAATAACATTGAAAAACTCACACTTGATTTCAAAATCTAGAAATTACTACAAAGCTACAGTAATCATGATCATTTGATTCTGGCATAAAAAGAGATATGTAAGCCTTCTCATGACCCAGGACCCCAATTAGATGATCACTGATTTGGAGCAGTGGTTTCCAAACTTGGCTGCCTTTATAATTTACCTGAGATAAATTATAAGTATCAGATTTCCCAGCTTAATCCAGACCTGCTGAACCAGAAGTTTAGAAAGCAGAGATCCAAAAGATGCTTTGAAAATTTTCTTTAGTTGACTCTGATAATTAGCCAGATTAGATAAATATTGGTGTAGAAAACAAAGGAAGTTGATTTAGTAATTATAAAAAGTACATGTATTCACTAGCCACTTTCATTAATTGCTGGTTAGTTATGAAGGTCAGAGAACATTTAAATATGACCTAGAGCTTTGGCTAGTCTAACTCCTGTGTAGCCAATAGAGAAATCCGAAGGCATTGTTTTTCCTTACTTCCAAATAAGACACACAAACTCTGCCAGCATAAGTTATGCCTTAAGTGAGCTTGACTTTGTTAATTTGTCATAATGTGATCAATTAAGTTATAGTCTTATCCTGCAGATCTAATGTAAGAATATGGTAATGCTTGTGATCACTTTTGACTTATACCAAAAGTGTGTGATATACCAATTTTTGGTTAAATTACTATTTAATATGTATGAATTAATATATTTTCCACACCATCTAGGCTGTTGATTTTTTATGTTAGTTTAATAACCTTTTCATAAATATACAGTTAATCAGGAGAACAATGGTTGATCATTATATATTTTGATAAGACTGAAATGTTGCATTTTCTCTGTAGATATTACACTACAAAAAGATACTCAGGAAGGAACTCCACCCCTGACCCAGAGTCAGGAGCCCCTGAAACCTCAGGAGAATATATCACGACCCATTCACCATCCTTTAGTTTTAAAAACCAACTTTGAGGAAGAAGAGGAAGAAGTAAATGAGCAGAATGGTTAGTAAACTTTTTCTCAGATTTACAATGCATATTCAAAAAACCTCATAATATTTTCCACATATCTTTTTACTTCTAGAGTTATATAGTGTAATATATAAGGCATATTTTGATGAGAAAATAGCTTTAAATTTAATAAATATGCTAAATTCATTATGTTCTAATTTGTTCTATGTCTACACATGCTTATTATTTGGATTGGAAGGTTTTTGTTGTATGAGGGATGGGAGACAGTTTTCCTGTTTAAATATGTATAGTTGCTTGTAGGGATATTAATCACTTATTGTTTTAAGAGTTTTCAATGCTCATTTGCTTAATAAACCCTTTTTATTTATTTTTTATATATTTTCATTGATTTCAGAGAGGAAGGAAGAGGGAGAGAGATAGAAACATCAGTGATGAGAGAGAATCATTGATTGGCTGCCTCCTGCACGCCCTGCACTGGGGATCAAGCCCGCAACCTGGGCATGTGTCCTGACCGGGAATTGAACCGTGACTTCTTGGTTCATGGATCAATGCCCAACCACTGAGCCACGCTGGCGGGGCTCACTTATTTTACTTATATGTAACTTAGCATTCATAGGCCTGTGTCCATCTGTTTATTTCATTACACCTATCGGTTTCACATTTAATCCTTAACGTTATAGAGATCCATAGAACAGTTTATAATTTATAAAGCTCTATCTTTTGCATTATCCCAAACAATCCTCGCAAAGGTATAAACAAGGTTAGAACTCAGTTCCTTTTCATCCTAGTCTATCCTACTCCTCCCACATTATCACAGCACTGTGCTGCCAATATATATGCACAAACAAGATAAACATGCTGAAAAATAAACTCCCACTGTCTTTGCTTGGAATGTGTCTTTCTGTGAGCTACAGGCCACCCCAGTGTGTATTCTGTTTTTGTTGGCTGTAGCTCCATGTCTCCCTTACCGGCATCTTCCTCTAAACAAACAAACAAGATATCAGCATGTGAATCTGTAGCTCCAGCTCGAGACACATAATGTATAATTAGTCATTTCTTTTCTCTTGACTGATTCTAATATGTGAAATATAGTAACTAGAAATATTTTCCAGTCTACAAATTATTGATTTAAAAAATTAAAATAGCAACATAGTAATCTATCCATGAGAACAATGGGATTTTTCATTTTGGTTATACATTTTCAGATTATTTGGCTTTGGGACGATTTAATTTTAAAATTATATATCTTATAGATGCTTCAAGTTTATGGACAAAGACTCCTGAAGAAATTGAAGAAAAAAGAGCAATAAAGGAGATGTGTTATAAATCTGGTAAGAAATCAAACATTTGTGGATTTTCTAGTACTTGATGTGACAAATATACTAACCATTACTTTTCTTATGGGAGATTAGGTGAATACTACAGGGTACATACGCCTCCAGATATTTCATCATCGAAAAGCACAGCCTCTACACCAGAAAAAGAGTTAGAAAAGCCTTTGGAAAATGGCAGTGAATTACAAGAAGGTAAGAAATTAAATGGCAGCATTTCAAGGTAATGCTTCAGAGATACTTGGTATGATAGGCTGTGAATTAGTAAGATATACTATAGAGTTAAGTGATAAATGGTACATCAAGATTGAGAGTGATAAGGAAGTTTTTTTATTGTGTGACCTAAATTTAATATAAAAAGCTGCTATTCATATAATTAAGCTTTCCCAGAAGAGCACAAAATGAAGACTTCATGAATATATGGTGACACTATATAAACACTTCACAGTATTTCTGTAAATAGTTTGCTTTTATCATTTTATTTCTCTATAAAAATAAATCTCCATGTGAAAAAGGAAATTTGTGAATAGAAAAGGCAACCTAGCCCTAAAGGAGATCCATACAATGACATTAGTGACAGAACAAGGGTACATTTGTTCATTGGATGAGTGCCTTCTGTGTATCAGACAATTACAGGGGTGATTTAGGAAGATAATTCCAGGGCTGTGACTTTCATGGATCTTTGGTGAATCTGATTTTGGTGACTCTGATTTTGGTGAATCTGATTTTGCTGTTGGTGAACATGTTTCCTTTGGCAAGATAAGAACATTGTTTTCTGGCTATAAAACCAAGAACTCAGAGAAAATCTATAGATGCCGTACGTTTATATAATTTTCTTGCCACTAGGATGAGCTAAAAAACCAGTTTTGCAGCAGTAGGAGAGATCTGAATCTCTTCCTACCTAAAAAAATAAAATGACATTTTTAAGAAGTTGGGAAAGTCTCCCAGGATCAAGATGAGTATAGAATAAGGATTAAAGTGCCCATCCTGGCCCTAGCCGGTTTGGCTCAGTGGATAGAGCCCTGGCCTGCGGACCAAAGTATCCCAGGTTCCTTTTTGGTCAGGGGCACTATCTCTTGGCAGGGGCTCTGGTTAGGGGCGTGCAGGAGGCAAACAATCGATGTGTTTCTCTCAATCGATATTTCTCTCTGTCTTTCCCTATCTCTTCCACTCTCTCTAAAAATTAATGGAAAAATATCCCTAGGTGAGGATTAAAAAATAATGAATGAATGAATAAATAAATAAATAAAAATAAAGTTTCTGTCTTGCAAACCATTTAAACACATGGCCTCTCTAAAAATTAATGGAAAAATATCCCCAGGTGAGGGTTAAAAAATAATGAATGAATGAATGAATAAATAAATAAAAAGTGTCTGTCTTGCAAACCATTTAAACACATGGTGCTAGGTGGCAGCAACACACCATCAGATGGTAGAACAATCAGCAAGAACTAGTCGAGGTAGAAGTCATGTAGGACACAACAGGATTGCTCACATTACAGATTACCCAGACAAAAAGAATCCCTAAAAACCCCCAAACAATAACAAAACAAAAATAAAGAAACCAAGCTAGCAATGCATATTAAAAATGGTAGATAATAAAGACAATTATATGCACTTTGGCTTTGTATTATGTTTTAAGAAGCTTTTTATGCCCTTCCCGGGTAGCTCAGTTTGCAGGTTGCAGACATGCCAAGATTACAGGTTCCATCTCCTGTCAGGACACATTCAAGAAGCAACCAGTGATGCACAAAATAAGTGGAACAACAAAGCAATGTTTCTTTTTCTCTCTCTCTCTTAAATCAATCAATAAAAAAAGAAACAAAAAGCTTTTTATCTTAAAATAATTTCAGTTAATTCATGAACACTCTTTACCCAGATTTCCCCAAATGTTAACATTTTACACATGTGATTTTCACTTTCTCTCTGTAAATATACACATTGTTATTATTGTTTTTGAATTGTTAGTAAGTTTCATACATGATGCTCATACATATATCTTACATAATTGGAGTATAAATATCAAATTCAGGAAAAATTTCCTGAACTGTTCCATTGATATCTTTTATAGCAAAATGAAGATTTTTTTCCCTGGTTTAGATTCCAATCACGTGTTTCTTTAGATTGTCATATTTCTTTTATCCTGCTTTTAATAGTTTATTTTAGAAGAAAATTGGACATGTATAAGGGAAATGGTGAGAATTGTTTATCACCGTATAACTAGCATTTTTGTCAATAGTAGAGTAATACTTTTTACTCAGTTTGTTCATAATGAATAGATATAAACAAATATAACAAAATTCATTATATAAGAAACATTAAATAATCTAAACTCATGCACACATGATAATGTTAGATTGCTTAAATTTTTTAAATTGTCATTATTAATTATCCACATAGGAAAATAAATTTGCTTGACACTTTCCTGATAATTATAAAATGTGCTTAAAATTCATGTAATTTAATGTTCATCATGTCATTATATAAACAATTCTTTCATTAATTTTTAGGTTTTTTGCTATCATTATGAATTCTATCATAAACTTATGTAAGCACTCAATGGTTCCTGGGGTAATTATCTTTATTTTTTTAATTTCAAGGGGATGGTCTTACAGTTCCAACAAAATTTAGCCTAATTGAAAGGCACGGTGAGGTCAAAGCATCATTGGATAGGAAACCAAGGACTGACATTGTTGCTTTTGAAAATGGAGGTGAGTTATTTTATTACTGGTTGATCCTCAATATATCTTTATATAATAAATGAGTCTGAATTTTCTCTTATAACTAATTTTGTTTTATCAAAATCACTTGCCATGTTTATTGATGGCTTTTGGTAAGCTCTTTAAGGCCAGGATCTGCACATAATCAGTTGCCCCAGATGAATCCCTGTAGTAGAATATCTGGCAATTGCTGTGTTCTCTGTAAATATTTGTAGAATAATTGCCTCTATTATGTTTAGACAATTAAATGAGTGGGTGAATGGAGACGTGTTTATAAAATTTACATGTGACTGGAAGTTAATATATTGGAACAGTGAGCCAAGTTTAACAAGGTAAACTCAAACTGGGATCAGCAAGGTCTTGCATTTTAACTCAAAATGGATTAAAGACCTAAAACAATACATTACATAGAAGAAAACATCGATAGTAAGCTTATGGACCTTAGTCTTAAAGAAGATTTTATGAATTTGACCACAAAGGCAAGGGAAATAAAGGCAAAAAATAAATGAATGGGACTATATCAAACTAAAAAGCTTCTTCACGGCAAAGGAAGCAGCCAACAAAACAAAAAGGCAACCAACCAAATGGTAGAAGACATTTGCAAACAACAGCTCCAGCAAGGAGTTAATATCCAAAATATATAAAGAACTTATACTACTCAACACCAAACGAACATTCAATCCAATTAAAAAATGAGCAGAGGACCTGAACAGACACTTCTCCCAAGAAGAGATGCATACCCATGTCCAAGAGAGATATGAAAAGATGCTTGACTTCACTAGCTATTAGACAAATGCAAATCAAACTACAGTGAGATACCACCTCATACCTCTTAGAATGGCTATTATCAATAAGACAAGTAATAGCAAGTGTTAGAGAGGCTGTGGAAGAAAAGGAAACCTCATCCCCACATTCGCTGCTGCCAGAAAAGTATACTGGTACAGCCACTATGGAAAACAGTATGGTGGTTCCTCAAAATACTAAGAGTAGAGTTACCATATGACCCAGCAACCCATCTTCTGATTCCAAAACATTTATTCGGAGAGATATATGTGCCCCTATGTTCATTGCAGTATTATTCACAGTGGCCAAGACATGGAAACAACCAAAGTGTCTTTCACTAGATGATTGGATAAAGAAAATGTGATACATATATCCAATGGAATACTACTCAGCCATAAGAAAAAGATTAAGTACTGCCATTTGCAATAACATGGATGGATATTGAGGATATCATGCTAAGCAAAATAAGCCAGACAGAAAAAATTAAGAAGAATCGTATGATTCCACTTATATATCTGGGATGTAAAAAAAGCAACAAATGAAAAAACAAGAAAAAAACACAAAAACTCATAGACACAGAGAATGGTAGGGTGGTTACCAGAGGGAAGAAGGGGCAGGGGTGTAATGGGTAAAAGGGGTCAAATAAATGGTGAGAGAAGAAGATTTGACTTTGAGAGGTGGGCGCACAATGCAATATACAGATGATGTATCATAGAATTGTACACTTGATATCTGCATAATCTTATTAAGCAATGTCACCCCAGGGAATTTAATTCTAAAAATGCCTTATTAAAGACAAGGAAAAAAGATCAAGACATTAACAGTAGGTTTCCTTCAATTTGGAAGACCTGACACATGGTACAGGTTGTAAGGGAATAATAAATGTTTGTGGCCCACAAGATTTCAAAATGATTCAGTAACATGTGTCATCTAGCAAATAGCTAAGGTAAAACTCACATTGAATTATTAGGAGGAGTATAGGAAGATAAGTATATGTGATAAGTCATTTAAAGTACTCAGACAAGTGTCTGACATATAAAAGAAGGCTCCATAAATGTCAAATATTATTATACTAGTTTCACTGGTTTCTGTACAGGGCAGCTCACATTTGGGTGTCACCTTTAAAAAAGGTCATTTAAAACGCTTATTGTATGTTGAGAAAGGGTGACTTGTATGGTGAAGCACCTGAAAATTAAGCACATAAGCAATATTTAACGCAACTGTGGATATTTATCCTGAAAAATAGAAGATCTTTAAGGAAAAAAACCTGAATTCATATATCTGATGATATATGGAAGATAAATTATATTTACTCTATCTCTAAATGGTGAAAGATTATTTTACGTTAAAGGCAAATTAATTGTGTTGACTATGTAAATTTTCTTGCAATCAGTATGTAAGTGTTCATACTATGTATTCATATACACATATGTTTATATATATTAATCTAAACATATATGATATATATTGAGGTGGGGTTGGTATCATTGAGAACTGTGTAAAAAGAAGTGGACAAAAGAGATGTTATAGAAGTGATAATCCTGTATTGAAAGGTAGTTTTGTAAAGCTTTCTGCCATCATTGCCACTAACAGTAAGGTACTGTCATAGGAGGTGATTGCTACATTCCACAGAGGATCATATTTCTCGGAGTAGATGAAAAGAAAGAGAAAGAAGTCACCATGTCGAAATGTTCAAATACTAAAGGTAATAAACCATTTATTATTTTAATCCGAATAGATGCGTTAAACATAAAGCTTAATTTTTGTGGAAATATATAATAGGCAAAGTAATAAATAAAGCTTTTCGCTAAATACACTAAATAGGAGTCAAGAGCCCTAAGGTTCCAGTCCTGGCTCTGTCCCTAATTGTTTGAACATGGCGCTTTATCTGATTAGCCTGAAAAATTAGCCTGTAGGGCTACATAATTTCTAGGAGTCTTGCTAGCTCTAAAGTTATTGGTTCTCTTAAATGGTAGTACTAAGTCATTTTTAGTTTCTTTTTCCAACTTCAAGCACTCAGTATGATTGCATTTTCCTAGAAAGCTTTGTTTCTTACCACTGTGAAGAGTTTTAATCTCATGATGACTTCCCCATTTAATAATTATTACTAACGATAGTCTGTAAATAATCAAGATATAAGATAATAAAATACTCCCTCAATGTTTTATGATGCCCTTACCATGCTTAGAATCTCCCAACTGGTACCTCTCTGTGGGGCAGCTCTCCCAGTCACATTACATATTCTCCATCTAAATATTAAACAACCTCATCTACTGTTTTCTTCCACTAATAAATGTTCTCAAGAATAGGAAAAGGCACTTGTAATCAAATCCAAGGATTGTTAATGGAAAATATATGTAAATCTCTCTTCCTTTCTCTCTCAGAGATGAAAAAATTTTGCCTAATCCACACACAAAAAAACAAAACACCCTACTCAAAAAATACACTAATTACAGTAGCTATTACTCATTTAAATTGGCATATTTTATGTCAAATTGATAATGGCTGTTTAAGTTAATTAAAAGGAGCCCTGGACGGTGGTGCCCAGTAGTTGGAGAGGGAGCCCCGATCACTGAAGGGTCATGGATTTGATATCAGATCCAGGGAGTGTACCTGTGTTGTAGGTTCCATCCCTGGCCAGGGCACGTGGAGGAGGCAACCGATCAATGTGTCTGATTTTTTTTTCCCTCTCTCTCTCTCTCCCCATCCCCTCCCTTCCTTCCACTCTCTCTAAAAATAAATGGAAAAATATCCTTGGGTGAGGATTAACAACAACAACAAAATTTAATAAAACAAAAATACCCAGCTCTTCAGTTGCACTAGCCATAGTCCAAGTGTTCAAGATCCACAAGAGACTAGTGTTTAGACCATTTTCATCACTAAAGAGAGCTCTGTTGGGTAGTCCTGCTCCAAAGCATAGAACAAGTGAAAGTTGTTACATTAGAAATATTTTTGGGATCTCACTTTAAATTGGCACATTTTATGTCAAATTGATAACCTTTTGATTCTTTTGCATGGAATTATTAAAAATACTGCCACAAATATGTAATTTACATATTGAAAATAATGGCTGTATTACTGGGTTTTTAATGCT